CCCGACAATTGTGCCGGGATCCGCCCAGCTGCGTGACTGACAGCTAGCTCTGCCTATATAAAGGCAGAGCCAGCTGTACCCGCCCCTCCCCCGTCCGTTCCGCCAGTCAGCGCTGGAGGATTGGAGGAGGGAGGGGGGAATCCAGCCCCTCCCCTGTCACGGCAGAGAGCAGTGACAGGATCAAGAGGTGAGAGAACGCTGGTATGTGTTCGCTCACCTCCCGAGCTACTGAGCCCACCTGTGACAGTCTCATTGTCACAGGTCGGCTAGAACTATGAGGTGAGTGAAAAGCACGCCCCTCATAGTACTCCTTTAAAGACAATTTTTTACTTACAAACCAAAGACACGTTTCTTAAGCATTTTATAGACTTCTGCTGTAAGATATACTATATTTTGTAATCATCGAGCATTTTATATACTCATTCTGTAAGATATACCATATCGTGTAATCTTTTGTAACTTTGCAATCAAAACGGTCGGCAGAGGGCGCTGTGGAGGATTTCTGCCAGTGAGAGCAAGCACACACGCGCGCGCAGCAGCGTGGGTGACGAGAGACGCCGAGAAGACAAGTCCTGACAGAGGGGGCATAAGTGCAGAATGCAGAGAGCGCTCTTGCAGCCAATCTCACTCTTCACAAGGTCCTGGATCTTGTGGGACATGAATACTGTGGGATCGTGTCCAAAATTGCAGAACTGTCCCACAAGGTCTCTTATTCTGAGCGATTCAGGATTTGTCTAATGAAAGTCTTTTTTCAAACACGTGACGCTTGAACACCTAATTCTTGTTATCTTCTCCCTTCAAACAGGATTACAGAATAGTGACTGTATCATTGCGCGTGTCAGGTTCCTATAAGGTGTCACTGTGTATTTCTTCATGGAGGAAAACAAGGATCTCATTGTTCTCAATATTCAGGGTATAAACCAGAGTGATTGTGATAATGATGTTAAAGAAGAGATAAAAGAAGAGGAGGCGGTTGGTGTGATGGAAGAGTTTTCAGAAGGACACAAAGACCCTTTCAAGGATGTCATCATGGAGCCATTAAGTGGCACAAATCCACAAGAGAGATGTCCCTGTCCTCTGTATTCCCGGGATTCCACACAGGAAGATCAGAACATCGATCACCATGATCAGGTAGGTGGGACTCTGTATATAGAACACAGAAGTCATTATGAACTTTGTGAGACAACATTCTTCTATGTAGTCTGTTGGTTTAATGTTTACATCTGAAATGTAGCCTCCCACCCATTCCACCCTCTCCAATTCAGCTTCCCCTTGCTCCACCCTCCACTTTTATTATTTTTTAAAAATGTATAAACAAAATTTTCTTCCATGGGTCTTGGGTCCAGTCATGTGACATCATGGATAGGCTCCGTCCTTGTGCCCTCCAAAGGGCACATGCTGAAATATGTGGTGCTGTTCTTTGCTTCTGTGAGTCCATGCTGGCGTGATGATGCGCCCTCAAGCTGAGGGTCCTTGGATCCCGGGCTCAGAGGAAATAGGTAGGAGACTTGCCCTCAAATGGGCAGAGCAGGAGATGTGATATTTCTCTGCTGTAGGTCAGTAACATGTTGTCACGCCTGCTGTGACTGCAACTGGTTGGATCTCAACTGTGCAAGGTATGCAATAAGTGACGTATGAGGAGACGGCTTATCAGGCTTGAATCTCAGGCGTCACTCCCAGTCTTTAGCGGGGAGTTTGAGATTCTTTCATCACAGCCGTATAATCAACTAAAAGGAGAGCGGGATAGGCTATTACTTCATAACTTAAAGTCTTAAGGTATCAACAGAAAACTTGGATAAGTATTGGTAAGGAACGGTGGGCGCCTTATACACATGTATTGTTGCAGGAAGAACCCCAACACAGAAATGGTAGCAATCCTTGAGACAGTCTGTACCACTTTAAGAGGTTGTAATTCAGAATGTCAAAGTTTAGGGCTCCAAAAGGAGCAGTACTTGCGGTTAGGTTCTGGCAATGGTTGCAGTGATTCCAAAGGCTGGATGAGGAGTGGTCCGACACCGGCAATCCTGGGGAGAGCGATCCTTGACTCAGGAGACAACAGGCGCTTCTGAACCCAATTGTGGAACGCCATGTTGCCTCAGCTGAGCCTTTAAATACCCCCAGGAAGCGGAAGGAGCCGCCTGCCGGACCGAACGACTTCCGCGTTCCACCGTGAAACGCAGGCCGCTTGCCTCGCAATCAGGAATTCGAGCGGCTTCCGCGTTCCACCGTGGAACGCAGAGCGGCCGTCCCTGCAGTGGGAGAGACCAGAGTGACACTTCCCCGCCGGGACTCGTTACACATGTACAGGTCTTGTCCCTCCCCCAGTCTTTGACTGGACAGTAAAATGAGAAGCACCAGACTGTTTCTCTTTCTCCCAGTCCAAGCTTTGCTGTACAGAGACTGCAGGAACCTGATACCAAGTCACATTCAGGTACTAACAATGTTTGCATTAAAAAAGAAATAAAGAGCTGCATTCTTTTGTGTCTTTTATATCTCCCCGGAGTTCAGCTTTATGAGATGTTTTCTATTATTTTGGGGTTTAGGGTGAAGAACGGAACAATATAAAAGTTGAGATTAAAGAGGAAGAAGTGGAGACGTATGTGGGGGGTGACCGGCCGTCCACGGAGGAGGTCGGGATGATGATGAAAAGTGATCAGGATGACATTTCTCTACCGATCAACACAAGTAAGTAACAGACACTATGGAGGGAACAGGTCACAGTTCTATGTCACTTCTGAGTAGAAGGTGTGACGTTTAACCCTTTCGCTGCCAAGCCCTCCGGAACATTTTTCAAATCAGCTGGCCAAGCCATTTTTGAATTTTCTGCAATTTTTTCCTATTGGTTTGATTTTCAACTGCTGCGTTGCTAGCGTTTGTAAAAGACCCCCCAAACCATATAAATTGGGAGTGTAGTAGACACGGATTTAGACATTGTAACATTACAGGAGGACCTGGATAAAATCAGGGAATGGGCAACTGTAAGTTCAATGTTGATAAATGCAAGGGAATGCACTTTGGATTTAAAAATAGGCAAATGGACTATACACTTCTGGGTGTGCCACTAGGGAAGTTGGAAATGGAGAAGGATTTAGGGGTCATTATAGACCGCAGATTGAAGAACAGCGCGCAGTGCCAGGCTGCTGTAAACAAAGCAAGCATAGTCCTGTCTTGCATTAAGAAGGGGATGTATTGCAGGGACAAGTCTATAATTTTGCCACTTTACAGATCACTGGTTTGGCCACATCTGGAGTATGCGGTCCAGTACTCAGAAAAGATGTAATTGAGCTGGAAAAAGTCCAGAAGAGGGCAACCAAACTCATTAAGGGGTTCGAAGACCTGAACTATGAAACAAGGTTGTTAAAATTAAAGGAGAACTATGGGGTCAGTGTTTTTCCCCATAGTTCTCATTAGGGTAATGGGAGGACACAAACTAGCGTCCTCCCGTTACCCTAAGCTCAGTATACCGCGAGTTACAGCTCCCTATATACTGAGACGCCGCAGCCGGAGCAGATCTCGACTTAGACGACGGGATCCACCCAGCTGCGTGAGTGACAGCTGGCTCTGCCTATCTAGAGGCAGAGCCAGCTGTACCCGCCCCCTCCCATTCCGCCAGTCAGCGCTGGCAGATCAGAGCGGGGAGAGGGGAATCCAGCCCCTGTCACGGCAGAGAGCCGTGACAGGATCGAGAGGTGAGGGAACCCGGTATGTGTTCGCTCACCTCCCGATCTACTGAGCGGACCTGTGACAGTCTCATTGTCACAGGTCGGCTAGAACTATGAGGTGAGTGAAAAGCACCCCCCTCATAGTTCTCCTTTAAATATGTTCTCTTTGGAGGTTAGGAGATTAAGGGGGGACATGTACTCAGTACTTGGTTTGGGCCCCTTTTGCAGCACTTACTGCAATTACTTTTGCATGATATTCTAATTATTCGAGTTTCACCTGTATATTGGTTGTCCAATATGTTGGGTCCATTGTCATGGAGGAATGATGGTTCTGAGATCTTCGTCAATATAGTCTGCCAGATTTGTGCCTTGAAGTTCTATGGGCACAGCAAAGTTCACCCTTACATTGGTGGTCCCGATAAGGGGGACGTCAGCTCTTCCGCTATCAGCCAGTCATCACTAAGCGCAGGTCAGTGACTGCAGTCCGCCACTGGGTCCATGAACCGCCATTTAGGGACATCTGGTGTACACCATATGAAAGGTCCATCTCCATCCCTCAATATAACGTCATGTCCCCAACAAATGAGGAGGAGATACTGTACACCATATGAAAGGTCCATCTCCATCCCTCAATATAACGTCATGTCCCCAACAAATGAGGAGGAGATATTGTACACCATATGAAAGGTCCATCTTCATCCCCCCCATAGCGTTCATGAATGAGCAGTACAATGGTCTCCAGGGGGTCAGAGGTGTTTTGTCTCCTTTATCTGGTTGGTTTTCATATGTTTGGGTTTCAATTGGACCCAATTCCATGCCAGAGCTCTGTGATGACTTCTAGACCAACATACATGACTCTGATTACTGACGTGTGTAATAATTTCTCTCCAGCAGATGGATGTGATGTCAGGAATACCTCGGAGAGACATCTTATATTATCTGCTGATTGTAAGTCAGAGGATAATGTCCTCACACAGGATTCTCCAGGAGTGAATCCAAACATACAAAATATACATCACAGACCTCACTGCTCGGAGACATCAATGGATCCCTCTGATCAGGGTGAATCTTCAGATCAGTCACATTGTATGACTGGAAATAACAATTTAAGAACTCACACTTCAAGAGATCCATCTAATCCCAAGGAATCTCCCTCAGCACATAAAGGAGTTCACAGAGGTGAAAATATTTTCTCACATGCAGTGTTTGGGAAATCATTAATTGAAAACAAAATACACCAAAGTATTAACATGGATGAGCGACTCTGTTCATATTCAGAGTGCGGGAAATGTTTAATTTGCAAAGGAGACTTTGTTAAACACCAGAGGATTCACACAGGTGAGCGACCTCATTCATGTTCAGAGTGCGGTAAATCTTTCACTCAGAAAGGAGCCCTTGTTATACACCAGAAAATTCACACAGGTGAGCGTCCTCATTCATGTTCAGAGTGTGGGAAATCTTTCGCTCAGAAAGGACACCTTGTTAAACACCAGAGAATTCACACTGGTGAGCGTCCTTTTGCCTGTTCAGAGTGCGGGAAATCATACATTAAGAAAGAAGCCCTTGTTATACACCAGAGAATTCACACAGGTGAGCGTCCTTATTCATGTTCAGAGTGCGGGAAATCTTTCACTTGTAAAGAAGTACTTGTTAAACACCAGAAAATTCACACAGGTGAGCGTCCTTATTCATGTTCAGAGTGCGGGAAATCGTTCATTCGTAAAAGAGACCTTGTTAGACACCAGAAAATTCACACGGGTGAGAGTCCTTATTCATGCTCAGAGTGCGAGAAATCTTTCACTTACAAAGATTCACTTGTTAAACACCAGAAAATTCACACGGGTGAGAGTCCTTATTCATGTTCAGAGTGCGGGAAATCTTTCATTCATAAAGGAGACCTTGTTATACACCAGAAAAATCACACTGGTGAGCGTCCTTATTCATGTTCAGAGTGCGGGAAATCTTTCATTCATAAAAGAGACCTTGTTAGACACCAGAAAATTCACACGGGTGAGAGTCCTTATTCATGCTCAGAGTGCGAGAAATCTTTCACTTATAAAGGAGACCTTGTTAGACACCAGAAAATTCACACTGGTGAGCATCCTTATTCATGTTCAGAGTGCGGGAAATCATTCATTCATAAAGGACACCTTGTTACACACCAGAGAATTCACACAGGTGAGCGTCCTTATTCATGTTCAGAGTGCAGGAAATCATTCATCAATAAAGGAGCCCTTGTTATACACCAGAGAATTCACACAGGTGAGCGTCCTTATTCATGTTCAGAGTGCAGGAAATCTACCACCGAGAAACATACTGCGGAGCGTCCTCACTGACTGCGGGAAAAGAAGTCTAAATAGACAGCGCCAGCTGGTTCTTATGACAAATGTACGATGGCTTTTCACAGGTGGAACTGTTTAGTGCATAGAACAATTGTAAGAGAGTCCATAGAACAACTGTAGGATATAAAAGAAAAAGGGTGGTCATCAGGAAGAAGGATTTTCCTTACCTCGATGGTAATCATTTTATAACATTGTCATAATGTCATATATTTATACCATTGAAGTGTGCACTTTATCATTTTGTGCATCAATTTTCCGTTTGAATTGCATTCTTTTGTTTTGCCATAATTATAAATACTAGTCCTCTGTCCTCTCTCCTGTCCGTCATGTTTTGGTGCAGCTTCCACCGTTCACATCCTCCTTTTTTAATTTTTTTAATACATTTTTCATTTGAGGTTACAAAAGACAAATAGCATGAATACAGAAACATGTAAATAACACAACATCCTCCTTTTTTAATTTTTTTAATACATTTTTCATTTGAGGTTACAAAAGACAAATAGCATGAATACAGAAACATGTAAATAACACAACAGCCATGAGTGCCCATAGTACAAAGAACAGCATACAGGTGGTACAAGCACCCGGAACAGACCATACAGTCCTGAGTATTGAGAAAGGAACATCCTAAGGCAGTCTCGGCTCCTCTCCGTAGACCTGTGAGGCCCGATGTGGGAAGTTATAGAGTCAATGCAGCCGATGCATACCGTATATGTTCAGATATATAAAGGAAATATCAAACACGACTTAGAGTGGCTGCAGATGATTTTCAGAAAAATCTCTTCCAATAAAGGAAATGTTCAATCTAGTTTTCTATATTGAGGCTCTCCCAGACAAGCTGCGGGCGTCGTCGTCCTAGGACGACCAGCATCACCTGAACGCCCTGCCGGGATGGCCTGTCATTATGCCGGGGGGTGTGGCCGCACGAGGGACATGACGTCATCACGTCGGATGCTGTTAAGACGACGCGGAATCAGGACTGACACACTGCTCATACCGAGGGGTTACCCTCTCGTCTCTTCTCTCTCTTGCCGGGTTTACTACATCAGCGGATATGAGGTATTTCTTCTGCCTTTATTTTTTCTTTGATAAGATGGCTGACAGGCTAACTTGGAGTAGATCTTGATATATCTTAGATGGTTGAGGCCCCAGTAGTCTCTCTTTGGTACATAGTTCATATAGATTTTGGGTTTACTCCATTTTTTCAGCCAACTATTTTGACCAGACCATACATTTCTAAGATGATATTGGCTGATTATATCAAGAAAAATATGTAATTTGGGGTACTTTTTGAAACGCCAATACCTTAGATGTTTTGGAGCCCTAGTATGTTCTCTTTCTTTCACAGTCCATGTAGGTCTTAGGGGGTCTTCTTTCTGTCAGCTACTTACTCTGACTATATTACATTTTTTGGATATTTTAATAGATGGATCGACAAATTTGAGGTATCCCTTCTTGGATCAATAATTTTTGGTCAGTCATAGTGATTCTTTTATTTCCATACCGCGGTGACCCTGGTCTTGTTTCCCATTGTCTGGGAGCCTCTGTTTCTCCTCTACCTTCGGACTATGTGCCACCCATGCATCCACCGGCTACGTGGTAAGATTGGCAGTTATTGAACATTTGGATGTTGATTATTATTATGGACTTTGTGTTTATCATGCAATAGTATACAAACAGACAATTTACACTGCTTTTTTATAGTTTCATTAGACTACCTCCCTCCTGATGAAGCGTGACATTTTCCACCACCACCATATCCCATGGGTTCAAGCTAAGGCACATGAATTTTTGATTAGACCTGATTATGTTTTATAGTATATTATGTTCTGTGATTGATGCAGTCAGTGCTTACTGTGTTTAACATTCACATCATATCATGTACAATCAAATTCTACCAATTATGTTATAAGTACATGAACTTTGGAATTAGGTGGATATTGGAGGTACTTGTTTTTATCATGGCCATGTTCTTCTCACATAAAAAATGTTAATCATGGAATCAATAAAATAAAAATGTTTAATCAAATTGTTCTGTGGTTCTTCAGTTTTGGTGTTTTTAAAGCCCCACTTTCTCTGCTTCTGATTTTTTTGAATAAAGGAAATGTAGACGTAGAAGAATAGCAAGACAACAACAGAGTGAAAGCAAAGGGATAGACACAAGACAGAAGATAAAAGGTTAAAGTCAGAGCAATGAGGAGACCAGAGCCGTCCCTCCATCCGCATCTCAAAACACAAAGCCCTACCAAGGAGTCACGAGGAGCACTTTTCATGAGGTCAGGACATCCTGGATCTCCGATATCCCTGGTCTAGAAGGAGGAAGCCTCGGAAATTAAAGTAGCTAAATTTTACCAAAATTGAGTCACTAATACAGGAAAATGAAGTCCTGAGTATTAATTGGCTCCAGATTCCAAGATACAGCTTCAGACCAAAATTGCATCATAATAATTCATAATTACGAGGGGGGAAGGGCGATTATGCTCCATAACTTTTCTGCAAAATGTGAACGGTGCCACACCAATGATTATAAATGTATCTTTTTATGGATAACAATAACATAACTTTCCATCATGTATTGGTTTTTCCTGACACCACCCTGCAAGAGGTTCCACTGTTGTAATCTGGAGCCCAGTAGCTCTGCCTTACTCTTAGGCAGGTTCAAATCCCTGAACAGGCCACTATGTGAAATGAGATGTGGCTCAGGAGGAGCCTACGGTGGCCAACTGTTTGGTTTCCGCTGAGTAGGATTCTGGTGGGCCTGGAACAGGCAAGTCCTCACCATGGGGTACAGGACGCAGTGCGGATGGAATGTTTGGATATTCCGCGGTCCTGTTCTTCTTTATTAGAATGCAATCCTTTTGCAATTGGGGGAACCTTTCAAAAATAGCAGTCGCTACTAAAATTGGTGGGTTCCCTCCACACCATTGGGACTGCGAAAGGCGTGGACTTCTTCTTCTTGTTTAGCCAATGATGCAGATAAGTAATGCAACAAAAATGAGGGGCTCAACTCTTGTCCTACTTGTTCCTTGTTCTACTGTTCAAAGCCCATTTCGTGTGCACCTTACTCTTTCACAGGCCACCAGATGAAACTGTATGATGCGTAGATCTGACCAAGACAAATGTACCTTGCAATAAAAGAACAATAAATGACAGTTGGGTAATAATCTTTAGTCTCATAGTGCAGATAAATTGATACACTTCCATGTGGTACCATTTTCATTGTTCTACCGTACATTGTTGGGAAGTTACGAGGCATCATGATCATCAGACACCTCCCTCCCTTGTAGGCAAATATACTCTCCTGTGTATGAATCTTTATCTTGAAAACTTGAGCCAACCATCAGCTACTTGATTCTGATTCATCTCATCAAAATATGTAAGAAGTCACACATTTCTATATCTCGGAGGTCGATCATTTCCCAAAATTTGTAGACCGGTGTATTTATCATGCGATCCTCTTGAGGACAAAACTGGATCCTCCATTCGTTCAGTCTCATTGACCTTGTTAATGCATATTAGCATGGAGGGGGACATGTCTGCCACCACCATTCAAGTATACAACTTCTCGCTGCATCAACAAGACGTGGTAGTATCAATTTTTTTTGTAGACACATCTCGGTATAGAATTTTGTGATGTAGTAAAAATAAATTTAAAAAAGGTTCATTGGAAATCGGAAAATCTGTAAATGTCATAAAAATGCCCATAACTTCTGACCGGAAATATCCGAGGTCTTTGCAGGTCCAAAAAATGTGTAGCGGATTCCCTTTCTCCTGGCCACAATGTCAACATTTATTCAGGAACATTTGGGAACACCTGAGGTGTCCTATACTATCGAGTCCGAAGCTTAAAGCCCGATTTCTGGTATATTGTGCTAACAGAGGTCTTCTGAGTGAAGAACATGATCCTGTCTATAGCATCCGGTGTAAACTGAAGTCTCCTTCCCATTGGGTAATGTACGAGAAAGAAAGGGCCAACGGATGGGGAATTTAGTAAGTGGTACACCATACAGCATGTCTATGTGTACTCGTTTGACAATAGCTAACCTCGAACACTGTCAAAGGGTGAGAAATCCCCCCGCTGGAGGCAATGACTGCAGAAAATGGGACAATTGCTCCAAAATCCTAGTATCACGTACCTGAATGGAGACCCAACGGAGAAGGCCACCCTAGATGACACCTATATGTCATTACAATGGGCTCAACCCAAAAACCTCAACCCAAAAACACACACCAGGATATGGATCTTTATTCACTTTTAAAAACTGATTGTAAGTTTAATTGGAGTTCAATGAGATCAGAAAATCACTTTTATTAATATTTAAAAAGAAATAACATTATTGTTTTTCATTTTATTTTTTTATTGTCTGGATTTGATGTGAGGTAATAGAGCAATAATAATATAATAATAATAGAGCAATAGACCACAAGGGAGCAAGCGCAATGAGGAAACATAACGTAGACTGAAGTATTTATATTCAACACAAGGTGGTGATCTCACGTAGAAGACACCTACAGGAAGTGATGTAAGGTACAGACAGGAAGAGATGTAAGAGAGGTTGGAAGTGATTTGGGAGGAGGTAAAGAGGAGACATTGCTTAAACCGGCTGCAGAGGAGGTAATAAGATATTATTTTATATTTACGCCCAGTAACCTTCTCCTTCATGCCCATCATCTTCCTCAAAGATCACTATGAGGTCTGTTATGATTTATAGCATACATGCACGTAAATATAGAGCCATTTATCCAACTGTCCATCCAGAGTCGCCATTTATAGACCGGATGCATCCTAAATATAGAGCCATTCATCCAACTGTCCACCCAGAGCCGCCATTTATACACCGGATACATCCTAAAAATAGAGCCATATATCCAACTGTCCTCTCAGAGCCGCCATTTATAGACCAGATACATCCGAAATAT